GGCTTCTGAAATAATCGGATACAATTAAGCTGAAAAAACTTAGGACAATTAATAAGTATAGAAACATTTCATTAAAAATTGTCCGTAATTGAAATTTTCGTTCTTTTATGGGTAGATGCTTTAATCGTTTCAACACCAGTTTACACTTAGTCCCTCGGCAAGTCGGCGGTAAGTTTACGAACGTCCAACGCTAAAATCAGAGGTTCGATTCCCTGCAGTGAACAGAGTTCGGATACCCTATTGTACGGTTTTAACTTTAAACAACTAGCACACACAGAAGCTTAAACTTAAGAAAAATGCAAGTAATTTACTACTACTTTGTTTGATAAATGGCCACAGCTGTAATCACTAGATAGTTGTGTGTGTTTTAATTCGGTAAAGTATTACTGTATTTATGTGTGTCTGGATTGACAAAAGCACAGTATTGTGTATATACACTGTTAGTTGACAATCTCTCTCTTGTGGCCAGACGCGACTGACATAAGAAAGACGTCAACAACGTTTATGACAGTGAATCGAACCAAACTTTTGCTCCGTGGGACGGAAAGCTCGCGGCCTGTTTTCCATTAAATTGACACTAATGAACATCTATAGCCGTGACTCATGGCGCGACCTATGATTATGGAATTACTACAGCACGTAACATCTGGCACCATAATGCAACCAGAAACTAAATAAATTCCATTTCCGTCTCTTTCCTTGAGTCTGTCCAAATCCTACGAACACTTCCCAGCATAACTCCGCCCTGGATGATCATCAAGCCACATGTTAATCACTGTTGGTAGTGTAGGGACGAGCACACGTGGTGGGGGATTAAGTGACCCGTTATGTTCAGCTGTATTGAATAGAAAAGGAAGAGGGGGTGTTGATATAGACTGTGCTCGGTAAAACTTGATAGCTATGTGGGGTATAAAGAAGGTCTTTGTATAAACTTTTAGCACTAGTTCATTCAGTTCTCAGTCAGCCAAGGGAAAGGACGACCATGGGTGACAGGGCGAAGAATGGTCAGTCAGTAAGATACCACCAATCTGGGAGAGAAAGGTCTATTATTCATATGGTAATTTGAAGTTGTTTATTTATTTATTGTTAATATAGTCCTAGAGTCTTGTCGATCCTGTGAATAACTTATTATATGTTGTATTGTTTGATGTTGCCTATATGATCTGACTACAAAGTTACGTTAATATTCTCTACAGGATAGTTTCCAGTTGGCCCCATATTCTTGTTGTTTCTGTTTAGTCCTGTTCATGTGGTAACATTGTTTCTTGCCCCGTATTGTTGCATCTGTTTAGTCCTGTTCATGTGGAAACCTTGTTTCTTGCTCCGTAATGTTGCTTCTGTTTAGTCCTGTTCATGTGGAAACATTGTTTCTTGCCCCGTATTGTTGCTTCTGTTTAGTCCTGTTCATGTGGTAACATTGTTTCTTGCCCCGTATTGTTGCTTCTGTTTAGTCCTGTTCATGTGGTAACATTGTTTCTTGCTCCGTATTGTTGCTTCTGTTTAGTCCTGTTCATGTGGTAACATTGTTTCTTGCTCCGTATTGTTGCTTCTGTTTAGTCCTGTTCGTGTGGTAACGTTGTTTCATGTTCAAGCTGCCTAATAACGTACAACCGTAATGAAAATCAGTCCACTGAAATGCTGTAGGTATTTTTTTTATACGTAGCCAGTGTCTTAATCCACCACGTTGTCCATGTAGTGTTAATATAATGAGTCATTAATAATGTGATAGTGAAAACTTAATGGCTGTATAGTGTTGTTGTTCATGTGTTAACTTAGCTTTCTTGCTTTTTTTTGATTATATATTTTAGTCTTATTACTGTCAGGATACATTAGTTATTCTCGTTATATAGTTGTATTAATTGGCTATCTGTGCTGAGCCCATCACGAGTATCGAACCCAAACTCTTAGCCACCAGGAGCTGTTGATTTGACAACTTGCTTTTAGTTGCTCTGTAACTTTGTTTAAAGGTCGAGCTCCATTAGGAAATTTAAATAACTTTATTTAAAACTTTCTTTTTTTTTTAGAAATATTTTCCTCTATACAAACCTGGTTAGATGTTGAAAAAAACGTAATAAAGACTCGTTTGTTTTAAAGTGCTGATCGTATCACGCGCGAGGCCACAGGGACTACTCAAGTCCTCCAATAAATTGTGCGTTAGGGTGGAGGAAGATGAGATTCGGAAAAAGAAAAAAAAATTAATCATTATATTGAGAGAATAGACCCTACATGTTTTTGTAATTGTGGAAGAGATAAAAAAAAAATAATGAATTTATTTTGATATTGAAATGTTATGTTTAACTCGCCAGTATGTAGGGGGGGGGGGGGCAAAAGCACGTGGCTTCAAGATGTCGTTTGTTTTGTTTGTGCCTAAGGTCCGCATGGTTTTTAAAATTCCAACTGATTTTTATGAGAATTTATTAAATTGATCTAAAAAAACGTTTGCTTGAAATGAAAAGTACAGTATAGACGAAATAAACTGTATTTTGGTGTATGAATAAATGAAATGTTTATATTTAGCAGAAATGGTGAAAATTGGGTAAGTTCGTATTTATTTATCTCTGGGATTTTAAAAAATTATTCGTTTTCGAATCTACTAGGAGCCATACCATGTTTGACAGGAGGACTTACCATCAAGGTCTTTCGATAACTTCAACAGTAGTCCCACGTGTCACGTGCTAAAATGTACGCTACTTGTTAAAGCATCCTAAACCTTTAACCTCGTCTCTCTTAACTGCCGCATGAAGAAGTAATCCGATTCGACAACCACAGACCATCCGAGTTTTTCAATACTGTCTGCTTATTGTGAGTGACTTGTCACGCCATTTCTTGGATGTCTCGCTCGCATCCAAATATTATTCACATTTTAATCGGAGACGTTTTTCTTAACGTGTCGTTGTCACGAGAAACCTGAGTCTTAGATAAAAGCCTTAAGTGCAGAGTCTTACGTTAAAGCAAAGACAGTATGAAAGGCTCTTAGCATTGTTAAAAAAAACTGAAGTAGCTACGACTTGTTTACTTGTTAGTTATGAGAAGTAATTGTGAGCTACACAGTATTCCAGCTGCCTGATAACGTATAAATGTAATGATTTTTTTTAATATTTACTCGGTGTCAAAATCCACCACGTTATCCACTTAGCGTTAATATAGTGCGCCACTAATAAAGTGATAATGGTATCTTAATGTTTCTGCAATGTTGTTTTCTTTTGTGTGCCTGTGTCAGATGTTTTAAATATAGATTAATGATGCTAGTGTATGGATATTCTTAGTGTGTAATTACCACCTTAATATTTTAAAAAGAAAAAAAATAAAATAAGTGATGGATACACGGGCGGGATTTGTGACCAAAATGTGAATTGGGTGTGGGGAGCGTGGGAGTCTTACATACGAGGTTTTAAACGTTGAACTAATTATTAATGAAGAGCGGGGGGGGCTGCCCTCATTAATGGTCTCATGCTGTTGTGTGTTGTAAAAAAACCTCCACAGATATACGTAATTATAGTTAACACGGGTGAAAAATAACAGAGTACTCTTTATAAGTCGTAAACAACACACACACAACAACAACATTGTTAAAATAAAACTTAAAATAACGACATCATCGTTAGCCACATTACACAATAATTTTATTTGTATAAGATTAAATAAGAAATACACTACATGTTTCGGGAGACAAGATGATCCATCATCTTCCGGAGACGAAGGACACGTACGAGGTTCTTTTATATTCTCGAGTAAATGTACGTGTGCAATTAGTAAATGGCGCCACTGTACAATATGCTAATTGTACACGTGCATTTACTCCAGTACATAAACGAATCTCGTGTTTGTGTCCTTCGTCTCCGGAAAATGATGGGTCATTTTGTCCACCAAAACATGTACAGCTTGTTTCCTTTTTTTTTTTATCTTGTACAAATAAAATTTTTGTGCATGTGGCAAACGTGAATCCAGGACATTTAGATATCACTTGGTTATTATAAAATAAAACTGTTATTTTCTCCATTTTATATGACCAGTATATATTTAGGCTACATTATCACTTTAATTTATTCCGTTATATGCACTGTTAGATCTTTAAACTAATTTTAAATCATCTCCTTTATTCGACCTACATATATTTAGGTTTATTATGTTACCAGTTTAATTTACTCCACTCTATGACCTGCATGGTAACCAGACAACAACTAAACAGTTATCAGGCATCTAAATGCCCTGTTTCCTTTTTTCGTTTTAATGTTGTCATTTACAAAAAAAAAAAAAAAATACCGCTCTTACATTTTCCCGGGTATACTTCAATGTCAGAATCTCAAGGTAAATAATAATTACAACCTAAGAAACTGGGTAAAATCATGATAAGTTTATTTTAAAATATACCAATCTAAAAATACCAACAACAATGAATAGTCTTAATTGATGCAATTATTAAATACTAAATATATTTCATTATAATAGTATATTGACTAACAACAATGTATAAGCACAATGAAACGTTTTTTTTATCTAGAGAACATACAGCATGAATGGTAAAGTCGAAGTGCCTAATTTAATGATCCTAGATTACGAGCTTCTGAAAAAAATAAAATAATAATTACATCTTTTACGGTGAAAACAAAGATGCGTACTCACTGTTACTATGAATTGGGGGGGGGGGTATTATTATTATTATTAAAGCACTAATTTGTACGAATTATCAATCTGGAATGCTTTCGTCGTAAACTCCGATTATTGACAACCCGTTCAAAGTAAAAACTTTGAAACTGGAACACGACGCATATTATACCAGCTAATTTACATGCAAAAACAATAAGGTCCATTCAATTATTTGATGGTGGAATCGTAACACCAACTGATCCGCAACGTTCATATATGTGATCACATTAAATTACCACGTTTTTAGTATTGGGAAATCTGTGCAACATGATAGTTCTTGAGGGGTGGGGTCTGTTGTTGTTAAAACATTACATTTCACGTGCAGAACGTCCAGTGACAAAGAGAGAGCTACTTGTTTTATTGTCCAGTGTACTGTTTTACGATTAGACCGGTATAAACTCGCTCGTCTTTATGGTCGGTTGTACATTTATTTACACAGAGCACAATTTTATCCTGACGAATTGATGTCTCACGAGTGAACTTGTAGCTGTCAGAATTTTGTTCTTTTTTGTTAAACCTGCATGTTTATAACTTTATCTGCTTAGGTGGACCCTGATCTGGGAATTGAACCTGAAATTATGGGATCGCTGGTCTACTGCATTCACTTCAAAGATGGCTGCAGGTGGATGGACGAACTCAAAAAGCTGAAGGTAAAATAATTTCTTTGTTTTCAGTTAACATAATCTTCCGGCTAAACTTTACACGTGTTTTAATTGGATTGCTAAATGTATCTCTTATCCTTCAAATCCGTGAGAGCTTTTCCAACAATCAATCCCTTAGGACACGCCATGAAAAAGTGGTCAGTCCATGGCCTGAATGGCCTTACCGCTTCTTACGGCCCTGCCTTTCAAATTACTGACTTGATTTTATACCGTTCGTTACCGGTGGGGTCCATCTATTGCATCATATTCAGTAATTTTATTTAGTTGTTTTTTTCGCTAGTTATAGCATTTAGGGTCAAGAATCGACCATAAAAAAATGGGGGGGGGGCTAACTTTTTATGTAAAATACATAGGGGCAGTAGCGGTGATAAATTTGTTTTTATTATTGATAGGGTTAGCCCTCCAGTGGGTCAGTGGTAAGTTTCCGAACATAAGCGACGAGCGAATATCTTGTTTTGGTGGGCTATTCTGTCACGTGAGGGGCGGGGGGTGGTACAATTCGGAAGAATCAGTTCGTGCTCCTAGATAAATAAACTCTCCTTAGTGACTCATGTATTCTCTCTCTCTCCATATAAACTGTATAACATTTCAGAATAATGAGAATAATACCCTGTGAAGGACAGTTTATTTGGGGAGATTAAGCTTTCCCAAGCCTCTTTTGTACGCGCCGTCCCTGTTTTCGAATTTACAATGCTAAACTCCTGGATTCAATTTCCCGCGGTGTACAGAACGAAGATAGCCCAATGTGTACCTTTGTGCTAAAAACAAAACAACTCAATTTTATTAGGGAACCTGTAATCACTAAAAAAAAACATGGAGCCACAAGCTATTTGGTGCATGAATAGTATAGACAAAAATGTGTTAAAAAAACAAAACATGGAATTAAAATATCGAATAAAGATCTGAATTTTAAGCCCCTAGAATATGGATTGCCCCCGATGCCCAGATGTGAAGTTCAGAGGTTATAACGCGGTGGGGGATAGCACAGATATTCCATTGTGTAGCTTTACGCTTAACAACACACGCGTGTTTCACGAAAATAAATTCGCTTGTGCGAAGTTTAGAGCTACTATTTTTAATGCTTTTTACAAATAGTTAACAACATGCCCCAAAATTGATTTAACAAAACAAACAAAAAAAAGATTGTATAAAAATATATTTATTTGTTTTTAGTATTTATTTTTCTTGTACATCCTATACTTTAAAGTCCCCCTAATCGTGAAAGGGACGTGTGTCTGGCAATGAGTGCTACTGACAAGAGTATTTGAGGCAAACTTTATAGTTGACATCGGTGCCGAATTAAAAGAATTTTGGGGCCCTGTGTTCTATGGAAAATTTGCATTTTCTTCCTCGAATTAGACAGAGCGTGTGACATATACAGTCTTTAAATATCGGAACTTCCTATTTTATTGACAATAATAAGACTTAAATCTTTCTTAGCAGAAAATACACGAGCATCACTGACAGTGCAAGTATTTTTCTGTCCTTACTCTAATAATGTAATGTCAAGTATAATTTAAAAAATCCTTTTATCCTGCCCCGTTTAACCAACAGACTGAGAAATAATTCTTGTCATTGTGAAACAAATGAATGAATACAGTGGCGGATTAAGACACCTCGGGCTCGAATAAATAATCCCCCCACCCCCACCCCATGCATATCACTAGCCGCAGCATAGCGGCTAATAGAATGGTTCCGAGTTTGTTTGTTGTTGTTTTTTCAGATACAAACGTTTAGCTCATAGCTCCGTCATCTCTTGACCGATTTGAGATTTAATTATAATTGTGGACTTAGAAGGTCAAACACTTTCGATTGGTGTATTTGAACACTCGAGGTCTCGTAGATTAATTTACTTTAATCCTGCCTGTAAGAATTTCAATTTGAGGGTAGGCTGGTAGATATCCTGATGAGTAATAAAATCGAAACTGGTATACGCGCACCCCATGCTTGGTATCACTGGCGCACTAAAATATGCGGAATTATTTTTTTTCATGTGCAACAGTATCAAGGCAATTGATTGGTTGTTGTGCGGCCGCGTAGTTTAGAGTGAATATTGCTCAAAACTATGATAACATTTCAAAAAGCGCTCCCAATTTAAAAACAACTTTATTTTTCAAAACTCGTATCATTTCTAATATTTTTTTTTCTATTCCTACAACACTCATTAATGAAAAGGATATATTTCATTATTATACATTAACTTTTTTGACTCCTTTTTTTTTTCCAGTGAAACTTCTGTGTATGAATTCAAATAAAATCCTTTGAAGAAAGTCGTTCTCGGTTGCCAATGAGACAAAGGCAGTTAAGGTTATCTTAGCAAAATCCAAGAATGTTAGGCTAACAAAGCATAGGCTCTTCATTCTTTAGTTAGGTCAGCTATAGGCTAACTAAGCTAGGCCTGCCTATCAGTCTAAGTTAATTGTGACTAAATTTAGTTAGGCTACGTTTAAGCCGTGTTAAACTAGCCTAACTAGACGTTTCTTTACCAGTGACTTGAGTTTGACCTACCTGTAACGGTATAATGCCGAATGAAGTCGTAAATTTCTGTTGCCTGACTCGTATAGGTTGCGCTGTTAATGATTTTTTTTGTATAACTGTCTTTAAAGAAGGGGGGGGGGCAAAGTGAAATTAATAAAATAATTATTTGCTCTGGAGCTGAATAAAAAAAAATATTATTTTATAAAGTATGTTTTGCATACAGCAGTCCGTAGTTGTATTGATCTGTAATCACTATTTACATCATATTGTATTTTAATAGTTTGAGTTTAATTGAATTTTTTAAGACTCATAATTTCTAAGCTTCTGAGGGTAACAATTCTATGGATAAAACACATGTTTCAAGATAAGTAGTTATACGTAATTCGCATTTTGTTCATTAACTTAATTAGATTATTTAACGTATGCATACAATAGTCCAGAAAGTTAATGTAATACAAATAAAGAATTGACTAATAATTCTCGTACCTTTACGAAAACAAGGTACGTATTTCAGAGTTATTTCACGTCGCCTGTAGATTGAAGGAGTTGTTTTTCTTTTTCAATACCAGGGTCATTTAAACACGTGTAAATATGACGCCATCCCTTGTACGAGCCAGTGTGGTGCAATGATTCCAAAATTGATGATGGAGGACCATTTAATGTACACCTGTCCCAATAGGCGGCTCAAGTGTGAACTGTGTGGCCGAGAAGTAACCGCGGAAGTGTTCGAGGTTGGTGTTTAAACTACCGTATGTTTGAGTGTAGAAAATTAATTGTGGTAAGCGTATTTATCAGCATACTTACTATTTTCTCATATTGTGATCCAGGGGGGTATGGGTTTATATACAGTGTTGGAAAAAAAAAAAGGAAAATATGAATAAAATGCAAATATTTATGGGATTGCGCCCTCATCTACTTAACGAAAATGAACTCTTCTGGGGTACAGTCACGTGTTTACATTGTGACTGGCTGTCATCCAACCAATCGGACAGTGCCACACTAGCTTATTGCTTATAAAGGTTTGTTTTGAATTTCGCGCAAAACTCACGAGAGCTATCTACGCTAGCCGCCCTTAATTTAGCAGTGATAGACTAGAGGGAAGGCAGCTAGTCAACACAACCTACTACTAACCCATGGGATGCTCTCTTACCAACGAATAGTGGGATTGGCCGAATCATTATAACGTTCCCACGGCTGAAAGCGTGAGTATGTTTGGTGTGACGGGGATTCGAACCCGTGACCCACAGATTGCGAGTCGAACGCCCTTACCACCAGGCCACGTCAGGCCGCCTGTAAAGGTACAGACATTCGTACTAATCCCAGTAGTATTATGGCAAATGCATTCATGGCTCCAAGGACAGAAATGCCTCGTGACAAATGTCCCGTTATCAAAGTTTTAGTTTTTCGATGATACAGATTGAGATAACTTCACCTTTTAGTAGTAGCCGAAGGTACCAGAAAATAGCACTGTCGATAATAAAATCAGTTTAAATAGAAAGCCCAGGTTATTCAAGTGATGTTAAGTATATTTGAGTATGATACACGATAATTCAGTAGAGACTGATTGCCAGTGTAAGCACAGAAAGATGCACATTAGCACAAGGTAGTGTCGGTGAATGTGTAGCAACTCAAAAACCATTGCTTCAGAAAGAGAGAGATAATAGAACAAAAACTGGAATACTAGTGCTTTGTACATTTTATTCGCTTTTATCTAGTATTTTCTGTATTATTGTATTGTACTAATGATTAATTGACCATTGCTACAAATACTTGTTTGCGACGCCTCCCGTATGTTTATCACTTGTGGGTTTAAAAAAAAAAAATATTTCCAACGGTTTACCTGCTGCACAAACAGAACATGGCGCATAGTTTTATGTAAGCACATTTTCATTTTAGGACTGAATCATACTTAAAATTCCACTTGTTAACACTTGTTCGTATTTCCCAGAGCGGTTGCAAATTTTTTTTATTTATAGATACAAAGATAATTTGAATTTGAAGACAATTTTGAATTGGTATAATAGAAGGAAAGCAGATAGTCAACAGCATCCGCCACCAACTCTATGGCTTCTCTTGTGAGACCAAATCGTGAGATTTGTACGTCACTCATGTAGCGTACACACGTGACCCGAAAGTCAGGAACGCGTTCTTGAGGGCAACTAGTTGCAAAACATAAACCCTTCTCAAATTTACAGTTCGTGTTTTGAACACTAATTAATAGCTCTTTGTAAACATTCAAGATATAATAATAATAATAAAAGATTATCAAATTATTGATTAGTGTTTTTTCTATTGATATTCCTTAAACATATCAATTTTTTTAGGCCTTGTAAAGCTGTAACATTTTGGAGCTAGAAATCTTTTGGGATAAGACATTACGTTGAATCTCACTTAGCTGTGTGATTACTATACTTATAGTTTTCGCCACCGGTTACCGCAAAATCACGCTCCGCACTTTAGGGCTGTGGGTGCGCTGTAAGGGTAAAGGTAAAATCCCTCAAAACAACAGTAGCCCAAGAATTTTGGCAGTGAATACTGTTGACTAGCTGCCCTCCATGAAGTCTTTCAGTTCAAAATTAGGAATGGCAATGCGCAGATAGCCCTTTCTGTAGTTTTCCACGAAACTTCAACCCGCCAAAGAATTCCACACAAATTTATAAATTATCCTAAACCCCATTGAACACTGCTTGTAAATACTTTTATTATAATGATGTACCTTATTTTGCATTTAAATATATATTTAGACGAAATGATTGATAAACATGCAGATCATTGTCTTACACAAACCGTTTTAAGCCTATTATACTTTGATAATATATATTATATATTAGCCGATTTTTGTTTCTGGAACAGGACCACATGGCCACGTGTCAGTACGAACCTGTTCACTGCGAGAACAAATGTGGCTGTAAGATTCAGCGACGGTTCATCAGCACACACCGCCAGAAGGAATGCACCAAACGACTTGTTGCCTGCCGGTTTTGTAATAAAGAGTTTGTCTATGATACCTTGCAGGTAAATCTGACTAACATATATTTCTAGTGTTTTTTTTTTTTTGTTTTTTCTTGTGTGTGTATGCAAAATAATTCGTCATTTTTATGAAGTGAACAAAGATTTAACTTTTCCTAATGTTAGGGAATTTGTTTTTTACTGTATGCCAACAACAACATGTTATAGTATGTTTTCAAATACCACCATCTAGTAGACAAGAAAAATAGGCCTAATATTCCATGTAGTTTCTAATAAGCAGTTACTGTTTTGCGGTAGTATTTCTTATATATACAAACACACACGGCTTGAATGGGTAATGAAGAAAAACTTTAATATAAGTTTAACATAACAGCAAATGTACAGCGTTTCGACAAGGTACCTGATGATGACAAAACCTTGTTGAAACGTTGTACATTTGCTGTTATGTCAAACTTATATTAAAGTTTTTCTTCATTACCCATTCAAGCCGTCTCCAACCATTATCAAAGTGGGTTCCTCGTCATCGAATTATTATATATACATTGTTGCCCGATGAAGGCCTAAGTAACAGGGCCGAACGTTCGCAAATAAAAGTATTTTAACATGGAGAAAAGTGTGTGAATAATTTTACATATCAATTTACATACGTTATGAGTCTTAAGCAACAAGTATTTCTTATTGTTAGTTTATATATTGTTGAATGACAACTGCGTGTTATTTTTTGTAATTATGTGTTACTGTTTGTAGGGTTTATATGTACAGTCCTTTACTCAACACTAACAGCCCAGTTGTTTCAATAACGACAGAGGTGTCGCTAGGTGCTTAAAAGATTTGGGGTTCGGGAATTTTCGGCGTTTCAATGTGATATCGATCATAGTTTTCTATTCTGATTTTTCAAGACACCAACTAGGAATTCGGGGCACGGGTCCCGTGTGCCAGCGCCTAAGCGACGCCACGGGTGTCACAAGTAAATATTATTCAGCGGGCCAACTGGTTATTTATTTGTGATTGTTTTTTTCATCTTCTTTTACCAAAACGTGCAAGTTCGGTGAAGAAAGAACCCGTGGATCACGTATAAGCATAATATGTTCTTTTGATCACTACTATAGGAGGCCTCGTTTATTTACTTGTTTCCCTCTCCCAATCAGTACCGATGAGCCGTTAATTCGGTAAAACTAGTCTACTGCAGAGAGAATTGCGAATCAAGAATAGACTAGATCTCTACATCATCCACGGGCTCTTTCTTCACTGAAATTGCACGTTTTAGTGAAGAAAAGAAATTGATAAATACACAAGTAACAGATTTGGCCAACCAACAGCAAATGCTAATTTACTGATTAATTTGCAAAAACATTAACTGTTAAAGAATAACTGTACTCGATCAAAAAGTGATTGGCATTCACACACTTAATATATCACTAACTTCCTAACACTGCAGTGAGTACGTATTTATATACTGATGTAACTATGTCCAAATATTAGACAGTTACTAGATTCTTCATGTCGTCGTGAACTTTCTACATATTGTAGGAATAATTTTCTGAACTTATTTCATCTTAATGTCGTGCGCCCTCTAGCTACTCTATAAATTAAATTACTGAAAATATAGCTTACACGAAAACAGCGTGATGAACCACGAAGACTTGAGTCCAAGACATATTTTATAATCAAAAGAAAATAGCAATAAATCAAATTAAACTTATTGATCTTTATTATTTACCTTGGACATTATTAGATCTCCAAATATAATGATTTACGAATGCTTTATATCTATATTTATTATGTTCTGTTGACGATGGTTGCTCGGCACGTCTATTAGGTTTAAACGCCGGAAGCCTATTTATGGAAAACTAACCTTCGCTATTTTATAATCAAAAGAAAATAGCAATAAATCAAATTAAACTTATTGATCTTTATTATTTACCTTGGACATTATTAGATCACCAAATATAATGATTTACGAATGCTTTATATATATATTTTTATTTATTATGTTCTGTTGACGATGGTTGCTCGGCACGTCTATTAGGTTTAAACACCGGAAGCCTATTTATGGAAAACTAAAGACAGCACACCTCTTATTCTGAGCCGCAATGAACAAACTAAGTGGAATGTAGTTTAAAAATAATATGTATCACAAAAACTACTTGCATGGACTTTACATAATTATTTCTAACTTAATACATTTTACACAACCTACATAAGGCAACTACCAATTTAATTTCATGTAAATACCACATCCAAAGCGATTTATTTTAACCGAAAGGAAATTTCATGACTTCGAAAAATCGTGTGTAATTTTTCGTAGGAAATCCCATAATATTAAAGTATTTGTTTTTCACTTTGTACATTTTAAAAGCTTCCATTATATTCTAGATCAAATCGGTTTATAAGAAATAAATAAATTATCGTTTGTTTTTTTTGTAGCTTCATTCATCCAAATGTCCAAGATATCTAGTCTTGTGCCCCAATCGATGTGATTCGTCTAAAATTGCCAGGGAAAATCTGGAGTTTCATCTAAAAGAATGCCCATCACTTATTATGTGCTGTGGTTTTAAAGAGATGGGTTGTAAGTTCAAGGTGAGAGGAAAGTAATATTACACGGGATTTTCTATAGTTTCAAAGATATACAACCTTAAGGTGTTTACTGTAACTTCAAATAAATGTCCTGAGAAGATCAACGTGCTTCGAAGTTCTTGTGTACTACACTCTCGACTGACCGCGGAATAGTTTTTATTTTTGTTTGTTTTTATCAGACATAAACACGACTGTTTAGAAAAACAACAACAATTTAATGAAAACATGAGTTGAGAGACCTGCTTGTTTATTTACTACGAGTACAGATAGTAGGAAGTCAGTATCACGTGTACACGCCCTGTTTCCCGTGCCTAATGAATAATTGGTCAAAAAACGCTTGGAGATGGCTTTAATGGGCAATGAAGAAAAACTTTAATACAAGTTTGTACCTGGCGATGACAAAAACCTTGTCAAAACGTTGTACATTTGCTGTTATGTTAAACTTGTATTAAAGTTTTTTTCATTACCCATTCAAGCCGTCTCCAAGCGTTATTAGTCTCAAAGTGGGTTCCTCGTCATCGAATTTGAATTCATCACGACATAATTGGTCAGTTCAATACACGTTATCAATGATAGATTGGTTGCCCGCTTACGTAACTTACACAAATGCCGAGTTGTGATTGGCTGAAAGTAACATGGAAGGATATTAGGAAAGAGATCTGTTTTGAATATTTTGGGTTATTTTGTTAATCACATTGTCATTGTTGGTTTTTTAGTGCAAAGCTATACAATAGTTTCTCTTATACGTTTTTTTTTTTTATGAGACAGTACAAATTCTTCTATTTTCAATTCCTAAAGGTTAGGCTCTTAAATCTTTGTTTTAGGATTGAAAGTAGTTTTGGAAAAGAAAAAAAAATCACCGAATCTTTAACACATTAGTATTGAAAGAACATGAAAGTCTAAGAGAAAAATACCCGCGTTTTAGGGTTTTGGTACTTAACTGTTAAGTAATTTTAATTTATGCAACACTACTCTCGGACTTTGACAGCGTGTATTTATTATATGTGCACCGGAAGTTTTAAAGAGTAACTAGATTACTAGAGGAAGATATCATGGTACTTTCTCAGTTGGCACAAAAAAAATTAATTATGCAATTAAATTAACTGGCCCAATTAATAGTTTCTCCTGAAACATACAAAAGTATACATGAAAACTATAATATTCTAGGTCAGAAAATTTTCCACATGTGATAAGCTGTAACTGATATTGTTACGACAGCGGAAGTCACGTGACCCTAGTAAAACGTCATGATATTCTCGAAGGTTCTTGAATGCTCGAGTGTTTACTAGATGTGCGGTATTCTTGTATATAAGACCGCCAAGAAGTGACGGCAACAATGGAATTGAATTGCAGATAGAGACGGACAATTGAGTCAAGCGTGTGAATCGTTCGTTGTGAATTATAGCGTGACTGTGGAAGTTAAGTGTATTGCAAAGTTGTATTAAGAAAGAATAAACTAGTTTTAATTAGGAAAGGACTAGTATCGCTAAAGTTTCTTCGGAAAGAATTTTTACGGAAAATTAACAAACGAACACAGAGGTGTAACAATATTATTATAGAACTATGTAAAGCTTTTTTTTTTCTATTTAAAAGCATAATTAGGCTACTATGTTCTTTTTTTTTTCTTTCCCAGGGCCCTAGATTTGCCATGGAACAGCACATGGAAACAGCAGGAAAGGCACACTTATTGCTGATGTGTGGAGTAGTTTCTCATCAGCAACATCAGATCTCAAATCTTTGTAGTGCTCTCAGTAGCCTTGCAGTCAACACATCTGGTGTCCTGGTTTGGCGTATAGCAGACTATTCCCAGAAACTAGCCGAGGCCAAGACTAAAGAAAGCTACGAACTTTCTAGTTCACCCTTCTACACAAGTCAGTATGGCTACAAGTTAATGGCTACTCTTTTTCCTAATGGTAATGGTGCTGGTGAAGGTACTCATCTTTCGGTGTACATCAGAATCCTGCCAGGAGAGTACGACCCCCTGCTTCCATGGCCCTTCTCCCATACAGTGTCATTCACACTATACGACCAGGCCAATTCACCAGCCAAAGCTACTAACATTGTGGAAAGTTTTGTACCTGATCCCTCATGGGAAAACTTTCAACGTCCCAGCAAGGAACCTAATGCTTTAGGTTTTGGTTTTCCTTGTTTTGTTTCTCATGAAATGTTGAAAAAGAGAAACTTCGTAAAAGACAACACAATTTATATCAAAATCAGGGTAGATCCAAGCAAAATCATTGCTGTATAAATTTGCATATATAGAATATTTCAAACTAAATTTACATATATATACATAACACACATATAATTGTGCATAAAAAAATTCTTCTAATTGTAAATCTATAATTTTGTCTTGTTTATTATTTGTTTCATTATAACCAAAAAATGGTTAATTTTTGTTGTTTTTTTTTATACATATATGTATGTATGATACTCATGTGACTGGATATCATTCAACTAGAATAAAATACTTCTGAATAAGTGAGACTAATTCAAAATTTAAATATTTTTTAACATCATATAAGTTTGTTACAAATCATTCATTTTTTTGTTATTTGAGATTTATTCATGATAAATAATAATTTCGTATATCGCACGTATTGGTGCTAAGAATTCTGTCAAAACCTTTTCAAGCAACTTTGCCAAGTCAAATAATTATTTTTAAGACTATGTTTTTTAGAACCATCAAGAATAAAACTGAAAATACGTACTCTGTTAATGTTTCACAGGAAAAACTGATACAGCCACAATATTCATGATTTTACTATTAACAAAAAAAACAAACAAACTTGTTACTTACTCTTAGTTGTATGTTTAACGTTGGGACCAAAATGTTTCCTTGTATCTCAATGTATTTGTAAAATATAGAATATGCTCAAAGAATCAACTTGTGTAACTACTACTATGTTCGTTGCAAAATCCTCAGTCAGTGATGTAAACATTTGTATATAGTGTGTGATAAAAAAAATAAATAGAACCGATTCATCTTCATTGTGTGTGTGTTAATGATTAGATCTTGGTTCATCAGTTTGGGCATGTTGGTCTGTGGCTCAATACTGTTATTGCTACATCATCAATAGATTAATAAACAAGTGTACATGCCTGTATTTAACAATAACCTTTGCATATTCAGAATATTTTGTAAGTCAAAATAAAACACTTTTAAATCTAAACAGAATTACAGCTAATGTTAACTTTGTACACTTATATTTTGTTAGTGGTTTTTTTTTTT